ATCATATGTAACTCATTAAATATTGAAGTTATAAGAAAAATGCATAGAATCTAACAATTTTTGACAATCCTAAAATATGAAGAAGAAGAACTAAATGCGGTCACTAGTACAGTCGCACGAATTATCTGTTACAGTCATTTTTGAAACTTTTCAATGAAAAAGTGGATGGGAAGACATCCGGCGTGATGATTCCGATACCGCAGTATCCCCTGTACTCGGCAACCATAGCCGAATTCGGTGTGGCGCCGATCGGTTACTATCTAAACGAGGACAACAAATGGGCCTTGGAAATCTCCGAGCTAGACAGAGCTCTCAGCGAATCGAGAAGGTCCTGTAATCCTCGCGTGCTCGTCGTGATAAACCCCGGCAATCCGACCGGACAAGTCCTCACTCGTAAAAACATCGAAGACATAATTCTATTCGCGTACAAGAATCATTTATACCTGTTGGCCGACGAGGTTTACCAGGACAACGTTTACGATAAAGACAGTGCCTTCCACTCGTTCAAGAAAGTGATGATGGAGATGGGAGAGCCTTATTGTAGAATGGAGCTGGCTTCATTCATGTCCGTGTCTAAGGGTACTATCCCATTTTTAACACAAATACGACAAACATTTTTCCAATGATGATTCTTATACAGACTTAATTAAAAATAAATGAATGGTTCGTGACTCGCTTAGGATACATGGGGGAGTGTGGACTTCGCGGTGGATATGGGGAATTCGTTAATATGGATCCTAAAGTCATGGCGATTTTACAAAAATCGATATCAGCTATGCTGTGCCCTACTGTTCTTGGCCAAGTGGTGATGGACGTCGTGGTGAATCCACCGAACAGCGAGCCATCCTACCCGTTGTACAAAAAGGAAAAAGAGCAGACTCTGCGGTCTTTGGCAGAGAGGTCGCAATTAGTGGTCGACACTCTGAACAGCATTCCAGGTTTCAAGGTACTTTCTCGAAATTCAATATCTCTAATATTTTGTGAGTAAAATAATGTATCTTAAAAATATAAATATGACAGATTATATAAAAGTATTATGGCAGATTATATCAAATTATATAAAAGTTGTCGCTACCATTAAAAACTTTTAACAGTATCCCAAATTTAAAAATCTATTTATTAATTCTGTTATCGAAGCTTGAGCTTGAGATTCCAATTTCTTTTATAAAATCTACTAAATTCTTTAATATTATTTTTATTGCAGGTAAATCCAGCCATGGGTGCTATGTACGTGTTCCCGCGATTCGAGCTACCGAAGAAGGCGATAGAGGCAGCGAAGAAGCAAGGCCAGGAGCCGGACATCTTCTACGCTTTCAAATTATTAGAAGCAACCGGGATATGCGTGATTCCTGGTTCCGGTTTCGGTCAGCTACCCGGGACGTATCATTTTCGAACGACGATTCTGCCGCAGAAGGACATGATAAAAAAGATGCTTGAGAGCTTGAAGCAGTTCCATCTTAAGTTCCTCGAAGAGTACATTTAATTCTAAAGATGGGAGTTGTTAACGTGCATTTCGTTTCCTCTACGCGACGTCGGGCCGAATGGAAATGGATCAGTATTAAAATTCAAATTAATACCATTTTTAATTTTGCAATTGAGGTGAGTGAAATACGCTCGTTCGTCGAATATTTGTACATAATGTAGAAAATTGAAGAATTGTACGAGCTTTGCAATGGGCTCGGGCGCGTGTATCGCGAGGATACAGTCTTTGTAATACTCCCAACGATATTACCGGATTTAACTATTATATAGAAATCCTACGAAATGTGTTTTCACTCGGGGAGACTTGCTCCGGATGTTTTTAGCAAACCCAGATGTATGACTGGATCACCCAATAAAATTATATACACACTCCGTACATTCGGATAAACGAGAAGATGTGGATCGTTTGTATGATAAAATACGAAGTTCAGGAACGACTTATGTGTTCACATTTGTCAGAGATTCTCGACGTTAATAAATAACCAATGATGAAATATCTGCCATTCACAAAAAGGAACCAACACTGTTTAAAATATTTCCCGGAGATTCACAAAATCCGGCGATTATTAAAAAATATTTTATTGCACGTCGCAAATTATACATGAACTTCGTACGATTTCTTAAATACTAAAGATCACTGGCGAGCCTTTCAATCTCCTCCGCGAAGAACCTCATATCAGCTTCGGTCAGTCCGGAGTTTTGTAGAACGAGTCGGAAGAAATTGGGCAGCTTTCCGAGAGGCTGATACGTGATCAGCATCGATCCTTTCTTCACCATGCGTTCCTTGACCGCAGGACCAATTTTTTGAAGAGCTTCGGACATTTCTTCACCACGCAAATGCCTTTTGGAGGGCGGCACGTACCAGAAGCACACGTTGGTGCACTCGGGCTCGAGCATTAATTTGAAACCGTCTCTGTGCCTGATGTACTCCGTGAAATATCTCGACAATTCGAAGACACGGTCCACGTGTTTCTCTAAACCTCTGGTGCCCTTCGCCTTCCACATGAACCAGAACTTCAACACATCTGCCCTACGACCGCACTGTATGTGCTTGTCCCCACTGTCGAAGGAAGTGTCGTAGAATTTATCCGGCTGGAAGAGGTAACTGGCTTTGCAGCCATGAGCAGCTTGCAGGAGTCCTTCATGTCTTAATAACAGAGTGGAACACTGCTGAGGAGCAGCGAGCAGCTTATGAGGATTCCAAGTAACAGAGTCTGCTAATTCGATTCCGTCTAAGAGGTGTCTGTACTTCTTCGACATCAAAGCTCCACCGCCCCAAGCTGCGTCCACGTGAAACCATAAATTATGCTTTTTGCAAATGGCTGCGATGTCTCTCAGGGGATCGTATGCACCTAGGACCGTGGTTCCCGCCGTGGCAGAGACCATCAATGGCGTCGCTCCTTCGTCCAGAGATCTTTTTATCTGTTTCTCTAAATCTGAGACACACATCTTGCCCTTGTTGTCTGTCTTCACGTCGTAAATGTTGCTCGTGCCTATTCCTAGGAAAGCACCGAGCTTCTTGACTGAGTAATGGGCGTCTTCGGATGTGAAGGCTATCAATCTGCCTGCAGTTGATAGGCCTAATTCTTTCAACTGTGGAAACCTGTAAAGCAGGAGGAAGATTAATATGAAAACTCGGTTTAAGAAATAAAAATTACATATTGCAGAATTTAAAATTGAATTGCAATTTGAAATAATGCAATTTCTTCACTATCATAAATCTTCAATTTTACATAAAAGTGTATAGAATATAAAAATTATATATTGCAGTGCTTGGATTGCAATTGGAAAATGGAATTGCAATTTGTTCATTGGATTGGAAAATGGAATTGCAATTTCTTCACTATCATAATAATAATCTATTACTGACGACCCTTTGAGTAGAAATTGTGAAGAGATTTTATTTATGAAAGTTTACCTGTAATGGCGTGCCAGGTTGATGGCGTATCCGTTGGCGATGGAACCACCCGGGCAGAATATTCCTTCGCCCCTTCCATCCTTCCAGCCGACGATCTTCCTCATCTCCCGCAGTATCTCTTCTTCCATCAAAGAAAACACTGGAGAGACTTCGTAAGTGTAGACGGATGGGTTCAGAGCGTCGGTCAGCCATTGTCCGAGGAGGCCGTACGGGTCTACAGTGGAGTACAGTTGATTTATGAATCGGGGGTGACCAGTTTTCACGCTGTACTTGATCACGTTGCGAGCCAACGAGTACAACTCTTCATGAGAGGCTCCTTGCTCTGAGAGCTTCAAGTCGACTGCTGAATAGAGAGCAGTCGGTTCCATCCACTCCACCACCCGGTTTTTCCTCGAAGTCCCCTGATAAAAATGAAATTCAATTGATCTTTTATTTCCTTAGTTTTTCTCCTTTTTTTTTTAATTGAGGAGAGTTGATATGTTTCATTGACTGGTAGACTAATTATCGTATTTCCTCGTTCCGCGACCGTGACTCAGTTAATTATGTCCGCCTGTTTTTTTTCTTTTTTGCATAATGATTTGTCGATTCTATTCATTCCGGGAATTACGACGACGTATTTGATTACGAATTGAGTGAGATAGAATGTAGGAAAATATTGCGTCGCGGAAGGAGGAAAGATTGTGCAAGGCAAGATTTCAATGGCTTTCGGGTCATTGCTCCATCTTCGAAAGGAGAATAAATAAAGGAAATATTTATTCAAGTATGTCTCATGAGGAAAAATAATGAATAAAAAATTTCAATGATTTTTTTTTAGGAGTGACGAATAACAGTGATTGATGTGAAGAGTGTTTGTGAAATTGTGGTACAATCGGTAAGGGGATGATTCCTCAGATATAANCGAACACGTATCACAATGGAATTCATGAATTATTCAAAAAACTTATAGAAGAATCATAAATTACTTTAGAAACTGAAGTAAAAAAGAATTGTTTCTTGCGCCGATGTACTTGATCTATAATTAGAGTGTGATTATCGAAAGTGAACGGCTTTGAAATGAAAAAGTGATTGCAAGTGTGCAACAACGTGTAACGTCCATGTACAAGGAAGCATTAACATTTTTTTTGTAATTAATATCCATAGAAGATGAAGGAGAACGTACTTGGAACTACTAACATATCAAGAATAGATGAATTCGAAAATTTCCACCAGAAGATTTCACTCTATTCACAAACTGATTTAAAACCATATACAATTGACTTGAAATTTTAACAGAGCATTCTAGACATTTTTTATTGTTGAATGACATAGGATTATTCTTGATTGGATGAAAACTGTAATTTTGGCAACGAGAAAACGACCATTTTTTAAGGAAAAATCGAAAAATTTCTTGAAAACTCCCCCATTTTGTCAGATTTCAATATTTCTCAGATATCCTATGTCATTCAATAATAAAACACGTCTAATTTAAGAACGTCTTTGTCTTTTTTCATTTCAGGCACTCTAGCGAATTGTACGATGTCAGCAGTTGAGGCATTTTTTTTTACATAACTTGGTCGCCTT